GATGACGCTCGACTTGACATCAAGGCAAATGGACTCTGGGGAGGCCGATTCAGCCGAAACTCTTTCGATGTAAAAATTTTCAACGCCCATGCTAAATCCTGCCCTAAAACTATATCTGACGCCTACAAAAATCATGTGTGTCAAAAAATTAAAATACCAACAAAGAATTCTGGATGTGGAACACAGCAGCTTTGTTCCACTGTTTTTTGCGTGTACCGGAGGAGCAGCACCAGGCTCTACAAAAACTATCTAGAAACTAGCAGAGAAACTAAGCGAAAAACGGAACGAATCATACTCGGACACAATAAACTTTTATACGAACAAAAATAAGTTTTGCACTTCTGAGGAGTGCAATCCTCTGCCTAAGGGGCTGCAAAAATCTTAAAAATACATCCAACATAGACAATTCTATCTGTGCTATAATCGAGGAGGGTAGATTCTAATTGACAATTCTCTTGATGCATCAAAATAGACTTGATTTATTCATAAAATTTTTGCCGATGTATTTATATAGCGTTGGTACGGCCTTATCCAATCTGTGCACGTACCGTCGCATTTCGGAGGGCCATTTTAATTGACCCCCTTTTTTAAACTAGTTTAGATGAGATGACGTGGGACAGATCGCTGCTGGACGACAACGAAGTAAAGGTCGGGACCTCAGAACTGATGTTCTGGTGGAGACGAAAGAAGCAAAGCCAAACGTTTGATTCAGAGACGACAGGACCAATTGTATTAAATTTTTCAGAGGCGAAACTCAGACTGGTCACAGTTTAGGACAGGATCAGCCCGCCAATTGCAAATGTGGCTAGGAAAACGGTTCATAGGGTCCGAGCTAAGAAGGAGCCTGAAGGAACGTTTGAGGCGGTGCACCAGATGCAGAGATAAAACGAACTTCAAAGTCGACAACAACCATCAATGAACCTGGGAACCAGGAAACAGTGATCCGAAACACAGTTTTAGCGAGGACCGGTCCGCCAACATTGAAAAGGATGCTACTGTTCAACTTTGCGGCGATTAAGTGCGACCCCTGGACGATTAGAAAAGAAGTTATCTACCAAGGACCGTGACGCGATAGAAAGAGTAATAACCGTAGGACAGCAACATAAACCAGGGTGGCCACTTGGTATCTTTTTAGATACTGGTATCTAAAAGTCACTATTTGGTATCTTTTTTTACGTAAGTATCTATTTTCAGACGTGAATGGGAAAGTGCAGGGCAACCAGGACTCTCGTGAGTGGCTTCTCCTGGGCAAGACTTGTGGACGGCGAAGACGAGTTTGTGGAATGTCAGTTGGACAAAAAACGAATCAATATCAGCAATGGGCGATCTCGACTGACGCAACACGAAAACTCAGATGTCCATAAGTGAGTGAACTCTTGTCTTGACTGGTATGATGAAAAAACAAAGCAAGTCGTTTGTGTTTACACATCAACAGATTTCTAGTATTTGACTGTTTAGGTCGAAAGTAGCAGCTCTCAATCGGCAGCCAACTTTGCAGGCATCGCTTGTGCAACATTGTGATGTCCAAACGGGAACTCGCAACGCGGTGGCATTGCACGTTTTGAGTCTTGTTTTGAATAAACAGACATTTCGGTCTAGCGACTCTGTTAACCGCAAACGATCTAAGTACAAGAAAATGTTTCCTGATTCATCATTCACGTCTCTCAACTGCGGAAAAACCAAAGCCAGTTATATTGCAGTACATGCACTAGCTCCTTACGCCCGAGAGCAGTTTCGGAACCTATACAGCGGTAAACTTTTTGGGCTGCACGTCGATGAAACAACTTATAATAGAAAATCGCGTTTGGAGTTCTAGGATTGTTCATTTTGCGGATGGTACGCGTTTTTGCCGGTACATGACAACAATTGAGCTCGACGTTTCGCTGAATATCGAAGAGTTTCTGAGGAATACGTCGTCGGCGAAAACTTTAGACGACGTTAAGCTTCAAGATGCAAATGCAGTTTTTGCCGCCATCGAAAGCGCGCTTGCTCTTTATCATCTGAGTTTTGACAATTTAGTTTACCTCATGACAGACAACTGTACCACAATGACTGGCAAGCACGCAGGTGTGAAGGCGAAAGTGAGAGACGTTTCTCCTCGAATGATTGACTTTCCTGGATGTAGTGTAGTGCTCATCAAGCCAACTTATTGCTGAACTCTGAAGCGCGCCAACCTGGGATTTTTTCCAATCTTGTGAAACTAGCGGTAGCATTCTCAGGATATGTCGGCACAACGCCGAAAGTGCAGTCGATCATGAAGAAATGCAACGACTTACTGGACCTTAAGTCGTTTACAGGGTTCTCACCAACGCGCTTTTTGTCTCTGTATCAGTCTTTCGAAATTATCCTAGACCAGTTTCATGTTGTTTCAGCGCTTGTTAATCTGTCAAGTGACGAAACTCTGAAAGGAATGTTCCGGGCTAAAAATCTTGTGATCAATTTGGACACAGTAGTTATTCATGTCAAGCCTATCTATATACTTACAAAGGTTACACAGGACCCCAAATTGGACGTACACGAGCAACTGAAGCTTGTATTGCTAGTTGTTTCGCAGTTACTGGCGCGAATGGGTCACATTCTGAACATAGGCCCCAACAGCTATTTCAAGAAGCTTTATGTTCAAAGTAACTATAATTCCGACAGTTGGATACCTTTAAGGCTCAACTCTAAGACCACCACGCTGTATCACAGCAATAACGAGTACGTTCTCAGCAAACTGTCTAATCTGACTGCAGAACAGGAAAATGGCATTGTCAAGCAGTGGAACACTCATAACGAGTTTCAGTTGAACGAGCTTCTCAAGCGGTTTTTGCCCTTCCTGAAATGTACACTGACGAGATATTGTTATGTATTGTTCATTCCGTTAACAGATTTCACTGATAAGAAAATCAAACATTTGGACAACTTGTCTATGTATTTGCATTTATCTTGCTCCGCCGTTCTTGACGCTTTCACAGCTTACAAGTTCAGCTGCGACAACCAATCTGCCGATTTGCGCTTTTAGTATATGACGGGAAAGTTGAACGCGTTCTCAGAACTCCGAACGTTAGTTGAATCTGTTATGATTGTTTGTGGGCACAACATGGTTGTTGAGTCTGGCTTCTCGGCAATGAAAGTGACAGAGACAGAGTATACGAACGCGTTAACTTCCGAGGTTTATGACGCTCTACGAATAATCCAAGAGTTTTGGGACCGGGACAGTTTCGAAACGTATGTTGTACCCGCTGAGTTGCATCAACTAATCAAAGTATCATCGAAAGCTTACAAAGATTTGACGAAATCAAAAAATGTGGCAAACACCAGAAAAAGAGCGTACGCGGACCACCTTAGATCGGAGCTACAGGTGTTCAAGCGCAGAACGCCAGGAGCAGTGCAGAAAGACATCTCTTCTACCAACGATGAGCTCAAAAAAGCAAAAGAGCTGGTCGAGCATCTGGAAAAGAAGAAATCCAAGCTTGAAGCTGACCGCGATTCAGTTGCTGTTTCGTTTGTTAATCAACTGTAAAAAATTAAATTTTGCAGTCATTTGTTTTCAACAGGTTTTAGCGGTGTGTGAAAGTGTCTTTTGTTAAAGCAAAATTTAACTTGGTTACTTTTTGGTATCTTTTTCAGGAATATGAATGAGGTATCTTTTTTATTCCCAACCAAGTGGCCACCCTGACATAAACGCCAACTAGTCGGAAAGCTTGAAGGGACGACGAAAACTAGAAAAAGGGAGTCGAAAAGTAAGCAGACAAAACCGACCAGTCAAGAGAGACGGCAGCGAGTCCAGGAGAAAAGTTCGGGAAAAGGAAGCGATGACAACAGAGTTCGCTTTGTCAGATAGTTCAGACGTAGAGTTGGGATTCGAGGCCTCATTCCAAGCTGAGAACTTGCCAGGGCCATCATCAGGGCACATAACGATTCAACAGGAGCAAAAGTTACCATCAACACAAAAAGATACTAGAAGTGTAACCTATAATCTAGGCGAGAATAATCTAAGGCGGGGTGCCAATTTGCAGTGTGAGTGAAACGAGTTGTAGTGATTCGGTGAGTCCACAACAAAACGATCGAGAAGAGGGCGAAATAACAGCGGAGTCTACTGAATGCGAGATCACAGCGGAATTGACGGAAGGCGAAATTCGAAATGAAAATGAAAGAGAAAATGTCGACATATAAACATGTCAGAAAGACCAAAAAGTTCATTTTCAAGGAAAACTTGATTTTAAAAATGTCTATGAAAAAACTGTTTAAAAATCATTTTGCCCAAGTGGGTATGTGGTGGTGCTATCGTTATGTGTTAGAATAGATCTCGTATTCATGTTAAAGGTCATTGTCCTAATGATGTTGAGTGGTGCTTGGCCAAATTATGTTCGATAACACATTGTTTAGTTGTGGTTACGATCTAGACTGAATTAACAGTGATCGCACAAGTTTTTTATCGAGTTAAGGAAGTATTATTTGATTCCCTTAACTAAGGTATTACATCGCAGCCGTATATTACGCTTACTTCAGAGACTCAAATTTGCTAGGTCGCATAATCGAATCCGACACGTGGCAGGGGTATTGCTAATTCAAGGCGTATTTCTGTTTTTTCTGTTTTCACTTGATAGAGCTGCTTTTTGGTCGTGTTCTCGCAAGTGTTTGCGAAGCGCAGCTTCGTCTCTGTGTTTATTGTTCGTTTATTTTCACTATTTCGTTGGTACTTCAATATAGTCCCTCTCGTGTCAATCATTTTTTCATGATATCGAAATTTGTTTGTTTTACTATTTATTAACAGAGTATGCTCGAAGCAGATCAGCTGATCTTGTTGCCTGACTTTTTCAATCTGCAGTGCCACTGGTCATTTTGTTCAAATATTCAATCTTCTTTATATCGACTTTTATAAATTTGTATTTCTCTTTTTCTATCCAATCTTGTATTGCTTTTCGTACCTGCAGGGTCACGTGCTTTTGATGTCGTTTGATATCAGGGCGAGGTTTTGTGGAGGTTCTGTTCTTCAAATATGTTGTGTTGTTCAGGTTGAGAAGTTCAAGTGTGCTCTGGTTGAGATGGCGGACAAGTACCGATTGCAGCATCCCGATGCGCCCCACAGTCCAGAAGTGATACCAGAGGGCACCACGCCCATCGAGATGAATGTGCGAGTAGGACTGTCCTCGTTCATTGTGAACCAGAGCCATCTGGCATATGCCAAAGACAGAGGTGGAATACACTTTTGATTGCCCGCCCGCCCCGCCCCCATTGTACAATGAGTTGCTGCCAATGAGTGAGGCGACAAATGGTCGAGTCGAAAGCGACAATTCGCACTTTTTCAAAAAAAAAAAGCAACAAGCGCCCCCCCCCCCACCCCGCACCAACGACAATTAGTAAGATTTAAATGGTGTGCGTGCTTTAAAATATTGCAAGCTTGTCAGAAACGAGACAAGAAATGTTAGAGAAAACGCCTGGAGGTTGGTTATTGGCGCGACTGGGAGAGAGTGTACACTATTTGTGGCTCGGTGCAAATGTCGCCTTTCCTTTTCTCACTTTTACCACTTGTCGCCATCGACCAGTTGTCGCCTCGCCAGTTGCTGCTGTATCTAATATATGGATGCTACAACTATTTGCTCTAGTATAATTGTGGCGTGCCCTGTAATGTAGCTGGGTCTGAACCCATAAACATGTATACACAAGCTCATCTGTTCAATGTTTAATACAGTTCATGGCTTAGTTCGAAACTGGTGATACACTGTCCCCTTTTTTGAGGACCCAGCTATCATATAGGTGGCTATCTTTTAATGTAATTGAATTGATGACGCTACCAATCGCCATAAAAATGCGAAAAAAATCATGCTAACTAATTTCTCTTAGTAAACGTTTCCAGACCCAACCTTTGCAATGAAAATGACATTTGGCTTTGCAAACTTCTGCGCCTTCTTACCTTATAGTTTCATTTTTGCGTTTCAGTGAGTTTGGATAATTTTGTATCTATCGCTTAGTGTATCGTTGAATTTCATGTTTGATTTATTTTGGACTGTCAGTATTTGCTCCTTGAAATGTAT